CAACAGCTCAACCTAGAGCTGGGCTGCCATGAGTCGCTGGCCACAGCATAGGCTGCAGTGGGGCTGGCTGGCAGTGGGTGTGAGCTTTCGTGAGCAGCCATGAGCCACTCTGAGCCGCAATAAGCGACCATCCAATGGCTGGCGAGCGACTGCTTCACCTGGGAAGAGCGCAATGATAATACCAACATAGGCCAGTGAAGCGACATCCTCCACAACTAGACTGAAGAACAAAAGGACAGCAACTTGCCTTCCCCTTCCCCGATTTCCCAATGCTGTTCCCCTCCCCCAATTCCCCAATAAAATCTAAAAAAAAAACCCTCCAAAACAAAAAAAACCTGGGAAAAAGGAAACTAAGAAAAAGGAAACTTAAAATTCCTAGAAGAAAGACAGCTTAAAGTTTTTCAGTGGGGGAGCTCTTGGCCCATATCAATGACATCATGGAAACAGCTGGGAACTGGAGAGGTCTGGGGATTACAGTGGAACCACCATTCAAAACACTCCATGTCACACATCGCTTCTGGTATACCGAAATTTCTGTCAAATAAAAACATTACAGTGTGTCCTCATCCACCTATTCACCGGATCTGGCATCTTGCGACGACTTCTGGCTCTTCCCCAAAGTCAAAATGACAATGAAAGGGACCGTATTGTTTGATCACACCTTGTATATTGAAATGTTTTCCATTGCAGCCTACAGTCCCCAGGATCACTTTAATGGTTCCAGAGAGTTCAATGGCTAAAGATCAGTGCTGCATCTGCCTGGCAAAGCTGGCAATCTTATCAAAATTGATATTTCCACTGTGCTTAATGTTTTTCTGCTTCGTTTTGTCTCTGTGTGGCTCCTTGAGGGCTGGGATGATTGTGGCAGAGGTAAAAGGTACCCCTCAATCTGAGCCTCTCTGTTTGATTACTCTTCTAATCAGTTTCTGAATCCTAGACTAAAGGTTGCACCTAGACTAAACCACAGAATATCTCTCACCCCTGCTTTAGATACCTACTTAAAAACTTGTGACTTTCCAACATTCCCCAAGCCATTCTGGACCTAACTCTTGGATAATTCATCCCAGAGACTAAATAGGTTTTAACATTTCTCCAGGCCAGTATACTTGTTGATTGTAAACATTAGAGCCTAATGTTCTTTCCAAACCCGTAGCCATACTACATCAATAGCTTTGAGCTCTGCTCTTTAAGAAATTTATTCATTAAAATCTATTTTTCCTCATTCAGGGGCCTTGGGGATACAGAGGGTACCCCAGCAAGATTGCCAGTGGCAACCAAAGAAGCCAACACGGCCTTGCAGGTGGATCTCGAGACCCCTTCCTCTCATCTAAGATCAGATATGATGAGAGTTCCCTGAATCCCCCAAATAGGCAGGGACAGCTCTACACCCCTGCCCAGCAGGAAGCAAATACAGAAGAAAAGACCTCCTGTCCCTCAATTTCCCATAGAGATTTTATGGGGATCACGTCTCTCAAGGGGAAAGCAAGGCAGGCAGTTAGAGGCAGGCATTGGGTCTCTGCATTCCTGCATGTCCAACACAACCCACAGAATGCGACCACCCAAAAGACCTCCCCTCTCCACCCAAAACTTCCCCTTTTTGTTGTAATTACCTACCCCTATGAGGAAACAAATGGGTACAAAATACCCAACTAGATTAGATCTGTCTCTCACACCTGTGCAGTAAAGGCCACAACGACCTTCATTTCACCTGAGCCTCATTATGCCATCATTATAATATACATATGCCTGAAAGTTCATTAATATCATTATAACAGACTGAACTCTGGGAAGAAATATGAACAGTCTAAAGAGATGAGGTAATAGCTTGTTGTCAATCATAGGTGTCAATCAAGTGGTCCCATGCCCAGAGAGGAATGGCCCATTCTAGAAAAAAAAAGGATAAAAACTCCAAGTCTTGGCCAGCCAAGGCCTTTTGAGCTCCTTTTGCTCAGCCCGCTCCAAATTCTTTGGAGTGTACTTTTTTTTTTCTAATTATGGCCCTTGAGCCATTCTCTATTGCTCGGGTCTGCTTCTGCTTGTTTTTGTTTGTTTTAAAGATTTTATTGGAGAGTTGGGGAAGGGAAATAGTATTGGGGAATTGGGGAATTGGGGAAGGAGAACAGCCAACTTGTTGTCCTTCATTCTTAGTTGTGGAGGGCACAGCTAGCTCAGCTCCAAGTCCAGTCGCCATTTGGCCGCCCGTCAGCAGCTTGGGGCTGCTCAGCTCAAGGTGCCCTGTTCAGTCTTAGTTGCGGGTGAGCATAGCCCACCATCCCATGTGGGAGTTGAACTGGCAACCTTGTTAGGGGTATGTGCTCTCACCAGCTGAGCCATCCTGCCACCTGTTGGCAGTTCAGTGGCTGCTCAGCTCGGGCGCAGCTCACTGGCCCATGTGGGAATCAAACCAAGAGCTCAGGATCTTAACCAACTGAGCCACTCGGCCAGCCCTGCTTTTTTGAAATGTATTTTTCTACTAATAAACTGTCCTATTCTGCAACTTTACCTCTCTGGTCCCTGTCCTCATTCTTCGGTTCAATGAGACCACGATCCCAGTGCACACACACACACAAACATCCTGCATCAATATCTTGGATAATAATTACCCAACTCTATTACTTAATAGAGTTAAAGGCTAATAAAATGTTAACTAAAATAAGGTTTTAGATGAAACTTTTTCAGTAATAATTATATAGTGTGGATACTTGGATGTATTTTCCCCACTTCTGTTGGTAAGTTAGAATTTCAGTTTTACTAAGTTGCGTTAAATGATAAAAGTTATTGGATATCTAGGTATTTCAAAATAACAAAATGCTGAAATATTACTTATTGGATGAGTCTGAGTTCACCTGCTTTTTGGTTTCTTGTCACAGGAAATCTGAAAGATAAATTAAGATCTGTCAATAAATGTGTTTTGTATTTTTTTGAAAATATAATTTAAAAAATTGGTAGATATATTGCTAACAAAAACCTATACTTCTAAAGGTTTCAAAATGCGTTTATGGATTTGCTAATGGAAATATTGGATACTTTCTTTCAGTTGTCAGTAAAAATTAAGTTTCTGAAGGTTATGGATTGTAATGAATATGAAAGGAAATGACGTGTGTTTTCAAGGAAGGCAAAAGGTATGGAAATACGTTTCTGAAGGAACTGAAAGAAAGTAGTTGGTACTAAGGATGGTTATTTCTGAATGAGCTAGAGGAGACAAACTAAGAGGAATTGCGAAAGTTGTAGAAGGTTTGTGAAGAAAAACCTTGAGAGAATTTTATATATGGTTAAGTTAAATGTGATTAATTAAGTAAATTTAAATATCAAAAGTAAGCTGGTACAAATTTAGTTAAGTTTTCTCTCTCTGCCAAGTAAGACAAAGTTTGTTAGACTATTGGTCTGCTACTGATATTATGAAAAAGTTTTCTGCCTGAAAAGCAAAGATTGTATGTGTCATCTAAGTAATACTCTATGTTTTAGATTGTTTTAATTAGGTCTTTGGTTACTCAAGAAAACTAAATCTAAGAACTAGGTTTTGCTAATAGTTATGTCAATTTCCATACGTATTTTAGGACTGCTAGAGTTCATGTGTCCTCGGTGTCAGTTATAGGCCAATGTAAGGAAGCTTGTTTTCCCTAACCTGACAGGGTATTGTAACGGTTCTGGCCCACTGTTACTTCCCTGATAAAGAGGCTCAGATCCTAAAAGAAGGCTAGGGAATTTGTTTAAATGTCTTTAACAACAGAGACACAGAAAATGAGGAAAGAAAGGAACAGTGAGATTGTAGATGAGGCCAGAGGCAGGCCAGATTTTTGGCTGCAGTTAATACACAGACCAAGGCCAGGGCCACCTCAGGGCCACCCCTGCAGCCCCAGAAGAGGAAAAGGAGCCTGCTTTGGATGTGGAAGCCCAGGCCACTGGAATAAGGAATGTCTTAATCCTCCAAGGCAGCCATGCTTCCTGTGCAAACTAAAGGGCACTGGAGGAGGAATTGTCCCCTCTTCTAAAAGGAGTGGGGACCAACTCCTTCCCTGCAAATGGCTGTAATTGACTGACAGACCTAAAGTGCCCAGTGGCTCCTGAGAAGAAACAGGTCATGCTCATCACAGGGGAGAAGCTGCGGGTGACCCTTGAAGTGGCGGGTAAGCCTGTTAATTTCCTGGTTGATATGGGAGCCATTTATTCTGTTTTGACTGCTCACTCTGGACCTGTTTCCTCTCAGAACCGCTTGGTTGTGAATAAATAAAGCCCGTAAATTTGGGCTCATACTCAAACGGTAAGCCTGTTTCTTACCATTGCTCTATACCGTGGAGGAAACGTAAAATGAGCAAATCAGACTTACAAAGGACTGGAAAATTTTTGTTAGGAGACCTCTAAAGCCCTGGCTCTAACTGCTGCCCGTTGCTTTGGATTCTGACCTCAATTCTGTTATGTCCTATGTTGTTAACTTGGGGGAGAGGTTCAGCAGTCACTTAGGAAATATGAAGGACCGGCACCTCCCCCAGGCAGACCCCTCTATGCATTAGAGCCCCGGAAAACCAGGGGATCAAACACTATTAGAAGCCTAGACGGGGAGAGGTGTCTAACAGACATGTTAGCTCCTAAATGGAAGGGACTCTTTGCAGTTTTTCGAAACATCCCTTCTGTTGTCAGGCTTCAAGAGTCAGTGGCTGGGTCCACATCCCTCGAATCAAACTTATTTCATTTACGTCTCCGCAGGACGCCCCCAGAAGGAAGGCTGTCACTCCTGTTCCTGTGAGCCAATTGAAGACCTTAAGCTCCTCTTCAAACAGAACTGCTGGAGCTGCTCACTATGGCGTCTTTACCTGTGCCCCACCTGGGATGCCCGCTGAACGCCTTTTGGCTCTCCTCTTCCCTGGGCTCCTCTAGCCCAGGGGTCGGCAAACTGCGGCTCACGAGCCACATGCGGCTCTTTGGGTACGTTCTGTCTCAAAAGTTTGCCGACCCCTGCAAGAGACAATCCTGTCCCTCACAACAATTTAAAAATTATTCGAGAGCTATAAATATATTTTTACAAATAAGGAAAGTTTAAAGTAATATTATAAATGAAACTATGATAGTTTTATTTTCGTTTTCAATTTTACTTCAGAGCCACATGTACGTCCCCAAAGAGCTGCGTGTGGCTCGCAAGCCGACCCCTGCTCTAGGGAGAATAAGCTAATAATATAAGAGCTCGGTTCAATATCCTCTCTGACTTCTGGATATGCCATAAACAGCTCCCTTCCCACTATGACAGATTAGCAAGAAACTCTAGTGCCCCTAGGCAGGATCGATACCCACTCTCAGCAGGAAGCAGCCAAGAACGGTCATCATCCCCTACCCTTGCAACCATACTAATTTTATAGAAATAAAATGAACATAAGACAGGGGGGAACTGAAGAAGGTCCTTGTTGGAACCCCTGTAGCAGAGGCCTCGCCGCATCCCCAGCCTACCTTTCCTTGACCTTAGTAATAGCTTAGTAATAGATTAGCTCCCTGCGGTTTGAGCTTGGAATGTGCCCTGTCCCAGTTTCCTGCTTTAGACACCTACCCTGAAACTCATGCTTGCTTACTGATCATAACAATACCTCATGCTTACTGATCACAATCTTTATGGCCTACCATTCTTTCCAGGTTACTGTCATCATTGCTCCTGGGTTGATGACCAGAAGGGAAGCCACATCGCCAGGGGGAAGACTCCATGCAGACCCCTGGAACCATCACGTAGCCTCTGGAGAAACACCCAGATTTTCCTTTTAATACACCAGCCAGACTGAGAAAGCGAAGGCAATTTTTGGAGGTGTTAACCTGCTGCGTTCTCAGACCACCGGTGCTCTGATAATAAATGCTTATTCTATGACCCAACTCCTATGTCGATCTGTTGGCTGAAGCTGTGCAAGGCAGCCCGAACCCCGGACTCGTTAGACCTCCAGTTTCATATGAACCTGAGTTTTTTTTCCCCTGCATTTAACACGTCAGTTCATTTTTCTCTGCCTTTACATGGGCTGGTTTTTCAGCCTAGAATGTGCTCCTGCCCTCACTCATCTGATGACGCCGCAGTTGTCATTTTAGGCTCATCTAAGGAGCCACCTCCTCCAGGAAGTCTTCTGGACATCTCTCTCATAGGAAGTCATTCCCTCCTTAGTGACATAAGGTACTTGCCAGCTATTTCTCCTGCAGCTCTGATCATCCTGTTCTGTAACTGTCTCACCTTCTAGATTGTGAACTCTATGAGAAAAGACACCCATATGACTTACCCTGTGTCCTCAGCACCCAACACTGGGTCTGCACATAGTAGAAGCTCAGGCTGCACTTCACAGCATTGACAGTGGCAGCAGTGGCAATTGGAATAGCTGCTAACATTTGCTGCATGCTCACGTATGCTGGGCCCTGTGTGAAGCATATCAACTCCTTCATTTAATGTTCACCACAACCCTATGAGGCAGAGCTGTTACCATCCCCGTAACACAGTTGAAGGAAGAGCTTCAGAGAGGTGAAGGGCCTTGTTCCAGGAAACAGCCAGGACCTGTCAAAGCTGGGATGTGTCTGGCCATCTTACCACTCAGCATCTGCTCAAACGTCCTCTCCTTGGAGGGACCTTCTTACGTTTTCTTCCTGCACGCCCTGCCCTCAGCCTTACAATCTGTCTCCATTACATCCCCCGACTTTTTGACCTTCATAGCCCCCATCGCAGCCACCAATGATAATGTTTACTTACTTATTCATGTTTATGTGCTTATCGTTGGCATCCCACCTCCAACAGTAATTTCATGAGAACTACAACTTTGTCATGTCCACTATGTCACTCCAGCACCATTGTCACACTATGTGGCACACAGTAGGGGCTTAATAAGTGCTGGCTAAAGTGGAGCAATGGATACCAGTACCGGCATTCTTTTAAAAAAAGTTTAAGAAAAGCAGGTATACAAATGAAACATAGATATACTTGAAGATTTATGGATTTTATTCAATATAAATTTTCCTTAACCTTAAAGAACATAAACAGATATTGAAGTCTAGTTAATGAAATGCATCCTGGAGTGTTTAAAGATAAAGTGAACTGTTATCTGCAATTTACTTTGAAATGCATCAAAAAATAAGGTGGTGGGATAGATGGAAGTATGGATAGACAGGGCAAACATAACAAACTGTTAATTACAGAATCTAGGTTGTAGGTACATGAGTGCTTATTATGCAATTATTTAAAACTTCCTGTATGTATGAATATTTTTATAATAAAGTGTTGGGGGAAAGGTCATACATGTACAGGATAAAATTCCACCAGTACAGAAGGATATTGAGTGAAACAGGGACATACAGTCTCCTCACCCCCAAACCACTCTATTCCCACGAGTTTCAATCACTGTAAACACTTCCTTGTCTGTCCTTCCAGAAAGGACTTCTCCTATTACAATGATCATAGAAGGATCAAACTACATTGTGTTTTACACCTTGTTCTCCCATCCCACATTAACATGTCTTGGAGTTTTTTCCACGTCAGCACATATAGTTTTAGTATTTTGTTTCACAGGACGTGTCATATCATGACTTTTCCCCTTGTCCCCAGTCATGGGCATCTCACTCACATGAGTTCACTCCTCCCACCCCTCAGGGCCCCAGTGGTATCTTCCAGCTAAATCTACTGCAGGTCTGATCACCCTGATATGAAAGGGAGCCTAAGAACACACCACAGAGTTGTTTCACCTTAAGGCACAGGGGCTGGCTTTTTTTTTTCCCCTTGGAAAGTTAGTCATTGGCTGTGAGACTGTCCCTCAAGGGGGTGAGAGGCTCCTGTCAGTTGAAGGCAATTCTCTAGAAGGGAGAGGTGGGGAGTTGTAAGGGGCCAACACGGATGCTGCTGGCGTTTAATGCCCAGTAAAGGGGGTCTGCATGGGGCAATGCCAGTGTCTACAGTCCACCCACTACACTGCTGGAATTGACTTGCTTTTCAGAGTAAATTACCTTTATCCAGGCTCAGCTGCTCCAAGATTCTGGTTGATCGTTGTTATGGGCTGAATTGTGTCCCCGCAAATTCATATACCTTAATCCCCAGTACCTCAGAATGTGACTCTATTTGGAGATAGGGCCTTTAGATAGGTAATTAAATTCAAATGGGGCTGTTAGAGTGGGCCCTACACCAATCTAACAAGAAGCGGTGATTGGCTGTACTCAGAGAGCTGTCAGGAGCATACATGAGCTGAGGGATGACCAAGAGGGCAGCCAGCCATCCACCAGCCAAAGAGAGAGGCCTCAGAGGAAACCAATCTTGCCAGCACCTTGATCTTCCAGCCTCCAGAACCATGAGAAAATAGAGTTCTGTAGTTTAAGTTGCCCACTCCACAGTATTTTGTTACAGCAGCCCTAGCAAACTGATATACTCATAATTCATGAGAAACTTATAATGCTAACCAGAGTCCCTGATGTTGCAGTTGATCACAAGGCCTTCACTAATACTCATAATGTCCCTCCTCATTGTCCTAATCCTCAACACTTCTGCTGGTCCAGTGATCCCAGTCTTTAAATCTTACTTCTTCCGGGTCTCTGACTAAACTAGTAAGCCACTTGCCTCAGGCTGTGAGACTATAAATAGTTGGCCACTTCTCTCTTTTTTCAAAGTGGATGACCAAGGGTGCAGCCGGAAGCTTTGCTTGCAGGGAGGTTTCCTCTTATTCCTGTCTTTTAGAGTCACTCCAAGTGGGACTGTAGTGAAACATCATCCATTTTTGGCTTATACCAGCATGAGGAGCTGACCCATTCATGAACCAAGCTCGGGCTTTTTTTTCTTCCTCCATCAGCTGGTTGTGGGGAATACCTCATGTGGCCCTAGGTGTGACCTGTGGGAGAAGTGTCAGTGCAACGCTAGGTAGTATAGGTGACATGGGGGGGTCTGGATCACCTGTTCATGTAGTTTACTTATGCCCACTGGCCCTTCTTGAGCCCAAACTTGAGGTACAGTTTCTACCTGGTGATGAATTGCTGTTGGTCCTGCCTGGCCTTGTGACTTGGTGGGTGACAGTGCCAAGTGCATAATGGGAAGTTCTGGTCTCATGGTCACTTGATGGCCTATGGCCAGGTACCCCTTCCCTACCAGGGCCCAGTAACATGCCATGAGCTGTTTTTTTGTTTGTTTCTTTCTTTTTATGTTGTCCATTAACATTTCCTAGTTGGAAGGGGACAGATTCTGATTTAAAAACAGACATCGGTTGATTAGATGTCCCTTTACCATTTGTACAGAAGCTTTACTCCAAGGGGGAGGGCAACTTAGCCGGGTGGTGTTAACAGATCAAGTAGCCCAGCGTCCTCATGGCCCTTGGAGCAGCCCTATGCTTGCTTCTATTCCTTTTTTTTTTTTCTAAATCCTATTTTAGTTTTCTGCAGTCCTTAACATGACCTGGCTTTTTGCAATAAAAGCACATTCCTCTACAGGAGTTTCCATAGCAAACCTTTAATAATTTTGTTGTTTTGCTTTCAGAAACCAGTAGGTGCATTCATTGGAATAAATCAGAAAAGCCAGGGTTATATGTTCTTACACTTAATTCAAAATTTTTTGCGAACTCATCAGGGTCCTAGAGGGCTGGGGGAATCTTTAGATTTTTTAGTTCTGCCTGCACACAACCATGATTTCCCTCCACCCAAGACCAGCTACTCCCCAAAGGGAGCTGCAACAGAGGTGCAGAAGAGAGAGACAGAGGAAAAGGAGAGCAAGTCCGGACAAGTAAAGCACATATTGGGACAAAGAGGGAAAAGTGGGGTGTTGGCATTTAGCAGCTTCAGAAACCTTTAGTTCAGAGACAGTCTCAAAACATTTCTTAACTTCCTGGGGAGAAGATCATCTCTCTGTACCATTTCAGAGGCTTCTATTTGCCAATTAAGGTAAGCCTCCCATTCCATTTAGTTTGATCTTTAAACCAGCTTTTTCTAATTGTGCACACAAATATTTAGATGTCAAAAGAGCTCCATTTTGGCCATCTTAAGTTGATATCACTTCTAGATAAATCTTTCCATGTCTGTAAGTACTTGCAAAATTCCTAGGAACTATACATCTATCTGCAGGAGAATAATGGCGCTGGAGTCTGGGAGCTTGTCGGCCTTTGAGGCACGATTTCCCATGTTAATTTTTAGTTTTCTTTTGAGATCTGCCGAGTCTGAACAAATACATAGTGTTGTCATGTAGTGGGTTGAAGTGTGCTGTTTATGGGTTGAGCTCTAAGGGGCTGTCACCTCCTGAGTCGCTTCAACCCTCTTACGTGTTTTGGTTTCTCGCCATGGCTGTCTAGTACAAACAGGAAGACTCAGAGCACTAGGTAACCAGCCTTTACGTGCACGTCCCGGACGAGTCCAATATTTAATTACAGTTGTGTTTGAATTGCCTATGGGAATTCCATGTTTTTTTAACTTTTAAAATTTTTTTAATTTAATTTTTTTAGCTGAGCCATCCTGCCACCTGTTGGCAGCTCAGTGGCTGCTCAGCTCGGGCCAGGACTCGAACCGCTGTTGCTCAGAGCTCACACTCTTGAGCGAGCTCTTAACCAGCGGAGCCACTCAGCTGGCCCTGATACTGCATGTTTTGAGGAGTACCCTCAAACACCTACACAAAGATTCTTAGTCACCTAATAATACCCAAAATGCGAGCTGGAGGGACTAAATGCCCAAAAGTTGGGCAGGGCAGGGTCTCAAATCACCAGGGTGTAGGCAGCCTGATGGAGACTCAGATATGGTGGCACCTGTGTCTGCCTGCTGGGAAGGGGCAGGGCTCAACAAAGAATGGCCTCTGCCAGCTCCTCTGTCCAGGAGAAAGCTGCCCCTCCAGCACCTGTCCTGAAGCCAGACAACTCAGGCCCCCACCATATGTTCCAG